TCCCACAGAGACACTCTCACAGTCAAACCTCTCACAACAGATCGCGGGTGGCGGGCAATACCCCCCCCACTCAGGTTTTTTTTGCTCCATGGACTAAGCACTGGCACCTGCCGATTGCATGCACGTTTGAAGTCCTCGGTCCGTGTTTCAAGAGAGGCAGGGCAGAGGAACTTCACTAGCATCTCGAACACACAAAGACCTTACTGCAATGCCGGTAAGAGCATCCCCTGTCGGGAGGCACCCCACGTCTAACAAGGAGTGCATGCTCAAGGTCTTTGACTGCGGTGACGGCCTTGAGATGCCTTCATTGGACTGATTGACCCTATGAAATCTAAAATTATAGTATTTCACTTGTCTGCTTCTAGTGGGGATTGAACGCGGGTCTGTATTTCAACAGTTCATGGGTGTACCGACTGAGCCAGGCCTGTTGGTCCTACCGTCGTGCTCGGCACCGGAACCGCGTCCCGGAAATGAGACCAGTAGTTAACATAGCCAAATAAACTAAACTAAAATTAGAAATAAAAATAAAAATAAAAATAAAACGAGAAAATGACACGTAAGGAGAGGAGGGAATTGTTAGCATCCCTTCGATCCCATCGACCCCCAGAACCACGTTCGCTAGAACTGCAAAGGGACCTAAGGAGAACAAAACGCGATTACCGCCAAACTTTGATTATCAATATCGACGGTGAAGTGAAAGAGAGGAAGTGCGGCTATCAACAGACTTTGGAAATAGTTGTGGGTAATAACCAAAGTAATGTCGGGCCCGCAGTTGAGACCGTTGATAAAAGCAACGAGGATAGTCCCACCGGACCTTCAATTCCTCAGTTCCCTTCAAGTTGCTCCTTTCCTCCTTCATCGCCGGGTGTTGGCCTCAATCACTGTACATGTTGCATGGAAGTCCGACACCTTAACCAAATGTGCTAGGCCCAAGGTTGAGACTAGCAGTTGCGAAATTGAATATGAACGGGTACCGTGTTGTGCATGAGCCTACGGAGACGGCCCAAGGCCAGTCCTTGGCCTACCGGTCGAGTTCACGGCCACCAAACGCCGACACTCACCGCACGAAGGGGCCTGTTGTCGCTCATAGCCACCTTACGCACTACTCCTCACTCCAACTTAAAAGCCGCGTTTTTACCATTCCAGCGCCGAAAACTGAAACTCTATTTATGCTTAACCTTTCGTTCACGCCTGCCTTCGCCGAGAAATTGCGGGCACCTCTCATTGGCGAGCAAGCATAGCAGCCGCCCCTCGCCCCTTTGCACTATGTACTACACTGACTGCAAAGTTGTCTCAAATAAAAGCCAAGGTAGACATTTCTAAAACGCGGATACTGGTAGCCGACCCTAACGCTGGTCACGGCAAATGGCGCCTCCTCGCACGCACACGCGTCCTCAAACATACCAACCAAAAGAAAAGATAATTTAGTCTTTATTTAATCGAAGGTAAAAAGTAGTCTAAGATCGGCAAAAGCGCCGACTTCATAATCATCAATAAGAAAAAGGGATCACATGCGCCTTCAAAACTGCGCGCCCACACACTCCCTATTTTTTTCTCTGAACACACGGGTGATCACAAGAAGAAAACTGGCCGCACGAGCACTCAACTTTTGCGGCCAATTTTCGAATCAAAACCCGTTTCTGACACTCAAGGCACTTAAACTCAAGGTACCTCCCAGAGGTTACTTGAGTTCAAGTGCGATTTTGCCCCAGCGGCACTTGAGTTTCAAGTATGCACACTTGAGAGCAGGAAAGTGAAAACATTACAGTGGGGTCATTAGGGGAACCAAAAGTTTTCGTCAACCCTTGAGTTCACCTGGTGTCGAACGAGGCCCCAAATGAAACATGCATCCTTTCTTTTTTTTTTTGTCATGAGAACAAGGTGATTCATTCATCTAGTTCCGTCTCCATCCGGATTCGAATTGGACCTCAGGAAGATATTTTGACAGTTCATGGGGGAACTAACTGAAATAAGCAACACACCGTGCCGGTTCTATTCGGGAACAGAATAGGAGTAGCAGAATAGGAGTCATACATACGACTTCTATATTGCTGGTTTGGCACAGGTTACTATTGTCGTCGCTATGCCCAACGCTGCCGTCCTGCAGAACCCAGAGCACTTTCTCTTTGAATTCTTTTTGGAGAGTTTGAGCTGCCGCCCGACACTGCTACGGCATATACATTTTATTCGCAGTCAAAGGCTGCGTCTTACCCCGTTGCACTTTGTCGTGTAGCGGGGCGTCCTTTTTATGGAAGTGTCGATGATTCCTAACGGGGTTTATGGGGAATCTACAAGGTGCATGGTCGGGGGGGGGCAAGGCACATATTGGTAGCCGAAAAGGTCGGCTCAGAGGTTGGAGCGTGGGTGACCAAGGGCAGGTTGCATAGGTCGTTGTTTGGCCGTGGCGGGCATCGCCTCGCCTTTCTTTTTTTGGGGTGGAAGTTTTTTTTTCCCGTTTCGGCCTTCGTTTTTGAAGGAGGGGGGGGGGGGGGGGTTGGGTTGTTTTGGGGCAGGCGGGGTCTAGTAAGTGGTAAGTGACGGAAGGGATGGCCAAACGCCCTCGCTCCACCACTGTGCAAAATGTGATGTGAATGAACGAATCTTCCCGCTAGAACATGGAAGTATACACCGCCATATGTGCTGAGTAGTGCAGCGAGCCCAAAGGTAAGGTTCAGGGCATCGCCTCACCATTCTCGAAATTTGCAAAATGGGAATGAACTTCTCGCTAACATGGCCAGATTGGTTGCTTAGTGGTCCTAGGAATGTTTTTTAGGACTCTGGGATCCCTACTAACTCGCCTTAGGTGGCTTCGATGCTGTTATACTCGGTGATCTGCGGCTGTTTGATGCCAGAACGACGCTGACCGGTGCTGGGGTGTCGCCCTGTAACCTGCGATGCAGGAGCGTGAGGTCTGGTAGAGAGATCTGGGGATGTCTTGGGGTGGGCTTTCCACGGGACAACCAAGGGTTGCTGCCGGGACGACGCTGGTCGGAGCTGGGGTGAGTTGCGTTGCCCTGTAACCCAGCAGAAAGTGGGGGTGTGAGACCTAGATGAGATCGGCAGGGAGTAAGACAGTTTTGGAGAACGTTGGAAGGGTTTGTGTGGGATTTCGAGGTTTTTTGGAACAATCGTAGGACCTCTGTGGCCTATTTCATGCTTCTTGAACGACGGTAAGAGTTCTTAGGTACCTCAAAAAGAGAATACGGTGAGTGGGAGAAGAAGGTGGGTTATCACGCGTCCTACCAGTGAGGGGGCTAGCTGGTAGGATGGGAGTATGGTATAGCAGCAGCAGAGATGGTGGCTCCGCTGCAGTCAGTCTTGCTGGAGTGAGGTAAAGTGGATTGATGGCGGTTCTTCTGAGTCGCTTTTGAATTTTGCTTAATCATGAAGTTGTCGTAGACATGTCTGAAGTAGCTCCAATTTCTCTGAGCCAAAGCCGGGTAATGGTCCCGGTATCTCAATTTTCAAAATTCCATCCTTAGGCCAGTCTCATTTTCATGAAATTTTCTGATGAGCTTTCTGAACGTACTCGTTATGGGACACTGGGCCCGGTTCCCAGTTTGTGCCAATTTGTGAGGATATGGTTGTATCTATGGGATGCTGGACCCGGTTTCCAGCAGGTGCTGCTCCCCACCAATAGATGGAGCTTGGTTTTTGTATTAAAAAAGAAGAAAAAAAAAAGAAGAAAAAAAAAAAAGAACATGGCCAGACGCACCCGCCACATTTTGTGTCTTTCTTTCACATTTCGAGAGTGGTGTCACTGTGGCGAGGCCCAGAGTCCACGGCGGTCTATCGATGGTGGTGGAAGCGGGAGGAGTGAGAAAAGGGCCACCTCGCTCGCTCCCGTTTGGCTGCGCTCCTGCGCCCTGCGCCGTACACAGCAATGTTTACGCAGTGGGACGAGGCCTATATACTGCCCTGCGTTGCAGAAATGGCTGCCACATCCAAGGAAGGCCCGTTTTGACCAACTCGGTGCAAGGATTCATACCAGACAGGGTCGTCGTCGCTGTGGCTAGTCAGTTTGGGTTGGAAGAAGAGTACAGATATCTTAGGCTCAGCATAGAGAGATTCCCAGTTGGATCAGAACAGAGAAGGGTAATTAGCATGGGCCCTGCGCAAGGGTGACACAGAGAAGGGTAATTAGCATGGCCCTTGCGCAAGGGTGACAGGCATAAATCGAGAAATGGTCCAAATTAAAATAATAAATAAATAAATTACCCAATCCTGACATAAGGAACAACAACAGTGGTGCATTGGCACAAAGACGTGCAGCTGCAGCGGTTCCCCCTAGGAGGCATTGGCAGACCAGATGCGTTGCAAATATTGTCTAGTGGAGGGAGGCCCGATCACAGCGTCGAGGTTTAGGGGTCTGTTTTTTTTTGTTTTTTTTTGCAGGAGCAGATAGGAATGGCATTGTCGACGACACCTGGAAACCCCTGCTCGCGAAAAGGATTGATACACTACCATAGCTCGTTTCCTCGGCCGCGAAGTGGAATAGACTGTGAGCACGATCTGCGTTGGGGGAGAGGCCATACTCCACTTCGTGCATGCACGTTCCTGGACGTAACTGACCGTTGTAACGGCCAGATTCTCGTCAGGACGACGATTGTGTCCTGAGCTTGCTTACTCCTTGGAAGCACCGCATGACGCACACATGCACGATCTTCGACGCACCTGGCTGCAATTATGGCCGGATGCTGACCACGACGACCTACTTAATGCAGCTGTGCGCCCTGAGTGTATTCTTTACCGCTGAATACAGACGCCCAGATGCAAGGTCCTGGACGTAACTGACTGCAATTACGGCCAGATCCTTCAGCATACTCTTTAGCACAGAATAGCCTGACGAACCTGAGCGTACTCTTTCAAGCCCAGCACGCCTGCTGCCGTTAGTTGAAGCAGAGAGAAGCGGCTGACACCGTCAGCCGAACCGGAGAGCACCGACTGCTACCGTTAGCCGGAGCAGAGACAAGCGGTTGATACCGTTAGCCGGAGCAGAGGGAAGCAGCTGCTACCGTTAGCCGAAAGCAGAGAGAAGCTGCTAATACCGTTAGGCCTTAGCCGAAAGCAGAGAGAAGCGGCTGCTACCGTTAGCCGAAAGCAGAGAGAAGCTGCTGCTGCCGTTAGCCGAAGGCTAGAGAATCGGCAGCCGCAACTTGAAAGGAGGAAGCATTCCTATTCGGGAAGGTTAGCCGAAAGCAGAGAGAAGCTGCTGCTACCGTTAGCCGAAGGCTAGAGAATCGGCAGCCGCAACTTGAAAGGAGGAAGCATTCCTATTCGGGAAGGTGGAAGTGGAGGTGGAGTGGTGGGAGAGAAAAGGCGTGAGAAACGGATCTGATTGGTGGGGAGGAGCCGACCATCTGCTGCGCGCCAAATGGTGCAAGTTTACGGAGAGCCACTGCAGCGACGCCATTATGCGGGCTACTTCTCCGCAGCTTTCTGCTATCGACTCACTAGCCGCCTGTTTAACATCTTCCTCACGTTCGTCATCGCCTACTCCACAGAATGTGCGCCATCACTCCCAAAATGGAATGAAACGGATATTTGCTCTTATCCATAAGTACATCTATGTTTGGAATATAACGTCCGCCACGTCACAAAAAAGGGAAAAAAAAACACCAGTATGTCACATCCCAAGTATGACTTTCTTTTCTTTTTTTCCATTTCTCGATTTATGCGCGTCATCCTTACGCAGGGGCCATGCAAAAATTTTGTGTGTACTCGTGCCACCACTGGATCGTAGGAGATTGAAGGATGTTTAATTAAAAATATGTAATGTATATATGATGATATATATCTTTAAACAGAGCTGCGAGGTAAACCGTAGGCAGAGAGGGAGGGAGGAAAGGAGAAGAGGACAACAAGCGAAGGGCTGTGACAAACTGTTTCGTCGGAGTTTCACCGAGTCATCAGGAGGCTGAACCCTCAACAGTGTGCAGAATCCCCTAGCTGATTACACTGTGAGTGATAATCCACCTTAACCCCGGTTAAGCGTTTAAGCATCAACGACTGCCCGACAACTGATACCCTGAGGTGGTGGGGACCACCAACCACTGCCGTCAAGGTACCTGTGACGGAAATCAAAGCAGATTATCACTCACTCACACCAGATGGAAAACTCTACATATATACATACAGTGTTTCCCGATCGAACGTTGGGGGGGGTTTGTCCCCCCCCAACGTTCGGGGTCGTTCGGGCGGGGTCTCGGGGTTCGGGGCCCGCCAAACCTCATATCGGGCTCTTTTTTTTTTTTTTTTTTTTTTTTTTTTTTTGTGTGTGTGTAGATAAAGCACAAGGTAGCGCACCGACCTCTAAAATTAAAAAATAGTCGTAGAGGATAGGGAAGTAAATTTCGTAGAAGATAAGGGGGGGTTGAAAATTGCAACCCCAGCCCATACTTTTCATTGATTAGTTGATTGGTTGATTGGTTGGTTTGGGGTCATCCCCCCGCCGCCAGCGGCCCCCAATCAATCAATCAATCAATCAATCAATCATCAATGTTTCTTTTTTTTTTTGTTACTTTTTTATATATGGATTGATTGATTGATTGATTAGTTGGTTGCGGGGGGGTCGCCACCCCCAGCCCCCTCTGCACGCACAAACACCCCCTCTGCACGCACATACACACAAACACACACACACACACACGCACGCCATGCGCTGTCCCGCGTTTTTCTTTTCAGCTTTTTTTTTTTGACGATTGATTGATTGATTGATTGATTGATTGGTTGGTTGGTTGGGGGGGGGGGGGTCGCCCCCCCCGCACACAAATACACACACACACACACACACACACGTGCGCCGCTGGCGTGTTTTTCTTTTCAGCCCCTGCTTAGGCCAACTCTCCATCCGGCCATCCCGACGATCCATGCGCCCATCTGGACCTTCCACCCCTCCTGTGCAAAAAAATGTCCTCTCTCTCTCTCTCTCTCTCTCTCTCTCTCTCTCTCTCTCTCTCTCTCTCTCTGTGTGTGTGTGTGTGTGTGTGTGTGTGTGTGTGTGTGTGTGAGCGCATAGAACACAAATGACACGCTAACAGAAAACCTCCGGGAGCAGCAAAGGCCATTTGATTCTATGTACATTCAGTGTGTGCCATTGATTGATCATCGTGATCCTGAAGCACACCTTGTGAGTGACTGCACAAGGGCAAACGTATGTTCGGGAAAAAAAAAGGGAGGATGGGCAAAGAGATGGAAGGGAAGAGTTGTCGGGACAGAAAGAGAACCATTCATGGCATGGGCGGGCCCCCCTCTTCGTCCTGCTTCTGCCCGTTTTCCTCCCAAGTCCCTCCTACTCCCTCGTTCTCCCCCGGTTGTTGTCCTCCCCCTCTTCTTCGCGTCCGCTCCTTCCCTCCTATCGGTCATCCGTCTTTCTTTGGATTACCATGGCCCCCACGGGAAAGAAAAACAAAAAACAATGGACCAGACGGAATGTATCGTGGTGCATAAAGTCGCCGAGATACGTGGCCCTTGTCCCGTTATTTGGTCTATCTTAGGGAGGGATGGCGGTGCTTCATGTGGGATTGGTCATCTGGTTATCGTTCTGCAGGCAAGTGTGTTTTGACAGTGTGTTTTGCCATCCTGGTTGGTCTTGTCCCGTCGTTTGGCCTGTAGTTGTCGGGGGCGGTGTTTGCATGTGGGACTTGTCATCTAGGATTGTCATTTAGTGTCTGCTTTGATTCTGTTATTGGGCATCCTGGTTGATTGTTTCCCGTTGTTCGGCGCCGGGCGGTGCTTGTATGTGGGAATCGTCATCCGGGATTGTTTTCTCTTTCTTTTTGGTTGTCACAGCGGGATCGGAGCCTTTCTTTTTGCTTTCTTTGCAGACAAGAATGTTTTGATATCCTAGTTGGTATCCAGCGGCCTAGCTCAGTTGGTAAGGCACGCAAGTGGCATTCAGGAGGTCTTGGGTTCAATCCCCATTGGTCTCATGTACCTTCCTGGGCATGCTTGGCGCCCACCACCTAGAGATAGCCCGTTGGTCCCCCCAATTGGCATTAAAAAGCAGTCTCTGCTGATGTTCATAGGGGCAGGGGTAATGGGGAGGCACAGCAACTGGCCACTCAGATGATGCTTGGTCCCTCTGCTACCGGCTGTCCCCTGGCCGGTGTCCCCAAGTGGGGGATCCCTGAAGGCTATCAGGCCACCCTGGGCTGAAAAGGCCACCGTTGTCAGATTAGACAGAAGATTAAATTTACCTGGGCTGGTTAGTCCGATGATAATACCTCAAGGCCATCGCCCTTTTACAAAAAAAAATAAAAAAAAATAAAAAATAAAAATAAAAAAAATCCTGGTTGGTCTCGTCCCGTCCTTTGGCCTGTGAGTTGGGGCGGTGCTTGCATGTGGGAGGTGTCATCTGGGATTTGTTTTGTTGCCCCCTGTTCTGTATTATTTGGCTGTTCCCTTCCTCTTTTCTTTGCCTCTTTGCCTTCTGGCTGTGTGCAAGTGGGTCGATATGACACACGGGGGTGGGGGCAGCGGCCGCTCAACCTACATCCACGTGGGCGGCCTTGTACGCAGGAGGTTCTGAACAGGGGGAGTTGTAAGGAAGAAGATATATAAAAGAGAAAACTACGGCGCAGTCAGGGTTACAGTTTGTAATTGCATTAGGAACTGCGTTTTAGCAGTTTAGTCAGGGCCCGAGTTTCAATTGCATTTGAAACTGCGTGTTAGCAGTTTGAAACTCGGGCTGGCTTTTTCTAGCAGTTCAGTCAGGCACATGGCCGTTTCTTTCTTTCTTCGTTTTTTTTTTTTTTTTTTTTTTTTTTGGTTGCGTGCTGTAACGTGCCGTGCCGCCCCGCGGCTGAAAAAAAAAAAAAAAAAAAAAAAACAGCCCTGTTTGGCAGCCCCCCTGTTCAGTGTCTCCCTGTCCGGACCTTGGCACCCTTTAAGCCATAACCCTCATTAAACCCTTACGTGGGGTTCAGAGCATGAAGATCTACTCTGGGTGTAACGTGTTACAGAGCAATGCAAAGATTCTCAAAGATTCTGTAACCTTACCTACCTACTTGGATGTCCCAAAGGACGGGTATGATCTTTTTCTCTTTTTTTGGGGGGGGGGGTGTAAACTTGGAGTCAGGGGGGGGGCACTTGAGTGCTTTCCTGCCACGTAAAGACTACTGTATCAAAAAAAAAAAAAAGACTACTATGAAGACTGCTGAGTCACACACCGTACGTGTGTGTGACATTCTATCCAAACGTATAAAGACTATGCCACCCATAAGTGTGACAAGTTTATAGACACATATGAAGACAACAATATCATCTCTACGTGTGACATTTGGTGACAGATGTTGTGTGACTCACAGCCATCCCATCCACCCTCCCACACGCCTGAGCTTATCATGTAGTGAAGCTCATTGAGACTAGACAGGCGTGGCTGGGGTAGTTTATGGAGTCTGAGGGCCTGATCCCACCACTACACTACAGCCCAGGTACAGTGTACTTTTGAGATCCCACGACTTTCTGACATCCGCCGAAATATTTGCATGCGTTTAGTTTGGGTGTGACGTGGCAGCACGTCTGCGAAGGGCGCGAACGGAGTTACTACCACTTTCGTGTAGGCTGTGAGGGCTTCACGGCCTCGAAAAAGAGGGAGCAATTTTCTTTTTTTTTCATAATTTTTGCTTGTCAGCTTGCAGCATTAGGGTGTGATCCCACCACCACACTACAAATGAAGACGCTATAAATCACTATGAAGATGTCAGCGACCGTGGCGGGGCAAAAAAGAGAAACCGGATCCCACGAGGCTGACTTCTTTGGTGGTCTTCCTGGACCCGCGGCGGCTCTTTATGGGCTGTCATAGAGGCCGGACATTTGCGTGGTGCCTCATGGACTCCGCCAACCGACATGTCACACAAGACTATGGTCCTCGGACATTCCTAATGCTTCAAACAGACAAGCCAAAAATATGAAAAAAAAATCAAAAAATAAAATAAAATTGCTCCCTCTTTTTTGAGGCCGTGAAGCCCTCACAGTCTACACGAAAGTGATAGTAGCTACATTCGCGCCCTTCGCGGACGTGCAGCCACAACACACCCAAACGAAACACATGCAAAATATTGTGGCGGCTGTGACAACGTCGGAAAGTCGTGGGATCTCAAAACTACACTGTACCTGGGCTGTAGTGTAGTCGTGGGATCAGACCCTTAGGAATGTCTGAGGACCATAGTCTTGTGTGACATGTCGGTTGGCGGAGTCCGTGAGGCACCACGGAAACGTCCGCCCTCTATGACAGCCCTTAAAGGGCCGCTGCGGGTCCAGGAAGATCACCAATGAAGTCCGCCTCGTGGGATTCGGTTTCTCTTTTTTGCCCCGCCACGGGCGCTGACATCTTCGTAGTGATTTATAGCGTCTACATTTGTAGTGTAGTGGTGGGATCACACCCTGAGCTTTGCAGCACCACTCACCAGATGTGAGAAAGTCAAAAATATGTCGGGTGTATCGTTCCACGTTCTAGTGGGAAATACCTTCTCATTTTGCACATTTGGTGAGTGCTACGGCGAGCCCCTCTGTCGCACCAACACTCAAAAAAATGACGTACATAGGCAGGGGACTATACTCCATTGTCATCGCGCTTTCCCTGCCATTTGCCGTCCTTCCTTACCCTTGTATATTTATGGCCCCACTTACACTACCCGCCAAGTGTGAAAAATACTGACCTAGCCAACGGCGCAGCTCAGTTTCAGGAAGTCGTGGGTTTGAAATCCCATTATAACGAGTATGTCCCTGGGCATGCTTGGTGGCCCACCGCCTTTAGATGCCCACTTGCCCCAATGGCAGCATTAGCAGGACCCTAGCCAGAGATAGTTGTTGGGTGTGACCCAACAGCTATATTGTCTAACTTAAAGCTGGCCCTAAGGTGCCCCTCCCGGGGAGCATTAGCAGGACCTTAGCCAGAGATAGTTGTCCGGTGTGATCCATGGACTACATTGTCTACTAGAAAAACAAAAAAAAAAGCATTGTCTACTAGATAACCCCAGGGTAATCAATGCCGGCAGGAACTCCTCAGGAACTCCTCACTACTATGTTCCAGATAATTTCAAATTTTCAGTCAGTGTAAGGGACGCTGGACCCGTTTTCCAGCAGGTGCTGCTCTCCACCAATAGACGGAGCCTTTAAAAAAAAAAAAAAAAAAAAAATTCTGGGTGTAGGGGAGGGGGGGGAGATGCAGCACCGGGCCTCAGTGCTTGGTACTACCACTGCCTGTGTCAGCCTGATGAGGGGCTGGTACAGCTTAGCCCTGTAAGCAGCTTCACCCTGTTACAGCGTTGTTGAAGTCACCTGAAAACCCCGGATTGCGAAAAGGATTGATGACATTACGCTGGACCCGATTTCCAGCAGGTGCAGCTCCCCAACTAATAGATGGAGCAGCCAGAGGAGCTTAGTAGGGACCTCAGGCCTTTTCTTTTCTTTTCTGTTTTCGATTTTTTTCCCCTTTTTTTTTTTGTTGATTAAACAGGTCCTTATGGTCCTGGCTCCATATCCATTCTGGGGAGCGTCAGTCCAGTTCCTTTCCCCCCAGCAAGTCGAAAAGAATACATCGTATTTACCCACTCAACGCTTCCTTCCGTCTGGCTGAAGGAACCCTGACCAGCATCGATTAATCCCGAGGAGGAGGATTGACTGTCAGCTTGCCCTGACCACATATTCCTCTCAGGATTCTATTTACAGCCTGTCGAATGAGTCCCTGCAATACGAGAAAAGTGGGGGCTGTGGGGGTCTGCTCCGTGTTCTTTTGCTTGTCCTTGTCCTTCACTGTGTCTCCGGTTAGCCTTGTTGTTGAGTACCATTCGGACCCTTTCGCCAGGTTACCTGGCAGGAACCTTATAGTCTTCATGATTGTGCCTGGTGCCATTTCTTCCACCTCAACCTGTTGTCAACTATCGTCGCCATCTTGCCCTTTAGCATCCAGTTCCTCATGAAAGTGTGTTTCTTGGTTGCTTGTCCTTCTGGTCTGTGTTTCGTAGAGTTCGCTATTCTCCACCAGCTGCTCCTAATTTCCGTCTCTGCCATGCTCAGCAGTAGTGACCACATTTCTTCCTTTGCCACCTCTACTTCCTCGATTGTCTGAGAGCACCTGCGTTTCCATATCACCCACAGTGCCAGCTTCCTGAGCAGGGTAAACCACACTTCCCTGCTGCCCGTGATGTTGCTGGGGATGTTAGTTAGGAGTAGGATAGAGAGAGGCGGGATGTTAGGGGGGGGGTGAAGTGGACAGGATCAAGCACAGCTCCCGAACCTTCTTCCATAGCCATGTAGCTTCTGGGCAGAAGAGGAGGTAGTGGGGGATGTCTTCAGGTGAGTTGTTGCTGCACATTGAACAGCAACGCAAACTCTCGGGCAGATATACGGATCTAATAGGTCTTCTTGCAGATCCTAAATTCTTTCCTCGTTATGTGTAGCCATTGGTTAACGGGAAGGGCTGCATGTGCTATTAGCCATTGCATACTGCGGATTCTGATTGGTCTGATGAGAAGGTATTTGGTTCATGGAATGGTGATGGGGATCGTGACACCTAGGTTCAGTATGGTTCTCCATTTCTCTGTCAGCCTTGGATTCGGGTCCTTGATTTGTAGTCCGAGGTTATACCTGAACTTTACGTTGTATTCTGTTATCGTCCTCGATTTCCCCGTGGCGCCCATATCTCATATCCACTCCTTTGGGTCGAATTCCAGCTCCTTGATGCCGAGTTCCGGCTGGAAGATAATCCAGGGTTTCCTCTGAGAGACTCTGACCTTCTTGAGAAGGTAGGTTTCTATTTGTTCGTTCTGAGGTGTTTTGTTTAGGGCCTCTGGCTCGTATGTGCTGTGTTTGATGATGGGGTAAGATATGAACTTGGCCTGGTAGTTAGTTGGGTCCGGTTTGGACACGAAACAGTAGACTCTTGTTAATGGGGTCGGTGTGGTGAGTAGTCCCCAGTCTCCTGGTTTCCACGTGTGTGCCTCTTTTAGGAGGTCGTCCATGGGGGAAGGAATGCTTTGAAGGATTTCTGACAGGTTAGTGGTCAGTAGGTGGCATCCTTTTAAGTATGTGCGAAGGTCTTGTTCGGTTAGCCATTCTTGCCGGTCCTCGGACGACAGGTGTCTGACCTGCCATACTCCTCTCTCCACCCAAGACAACCATCTGCGGTCTTTGGCCCGGAGAGTCCAAGTTCTGCCCTCTGGGTCTTTAATCCAGGGATTGCAGAACAGGGGCTGTCTTAGGACGTCCTCTTTGTTCCTCGGAAACCCTTTCTTTTCTGGCATCAGTCAGCACCAGGCCTTCAGGATCGGTGACCAGTAGGGGATGGGTGTAGTGGGGGGCTGATTGGGAGTCGCGGGGTTAGTTCTCCTTGCAGGTCTCCCCGATTCGATTGGCCATTCCTTTGCCATGATCCAGAAAAGGCCACTCACGTTCGCTGGGGACGCTACCGGTCCCAAATTCCTTATGCTGTCTACCGCCATCTTGGTCCACGGGAGGGCTTGTGTGGTTAAATTTTTTTTTCGTTTTCTTTTTCTTTTTCTTTTTAAAAGGCTAATTCCTTAAGCCCAACCAATTCAATTACCTGTCAAATCTGGACCCCTACAATGGTTCGGCATTCCAGGCAGAATGTTTGTAGCACTGGGTAGACCCTCTGCCAGAAATGTGTGTGGACGCTGCACTTCATCCATTGATTATGAAATGTGGCTGTTTGAATCAAGCAGATTTCCTTAGAGAGAAGAGAGGGATGCCATTGGTTTCTATCCTGTTCTAAATGCAGATGGTAGGAGTGGGAGGAGGGGAAACACTGGGAATGGAGAATGAACCTTGTTTACAAAAGTGCTAATCGGCGTTGTGTTCCCTTGCAGCTCTTTGGGTGAAGGTTGCCAGATATCAGGAGCAGCCAGTTGTCAGATTTGCTCATGAAGGCCTTCTGTTGTTGGAAGTAAGTGAATGACTGCCCGTGCCTGGGTAGTTGGACATGGTGGATGGCCTATCTGTTGCCAGGCTGTTGGTTGGCAGTGGGGCATCATGCCATGAGACAGCAAACAGAACAGTCTGCAAGAATTTACAAGGCAGGGAGGAAAAAAGAAAAACAGTGTCTTAAATTGTCGTTGCTTTTCCATCAAGGTATTAATTCCTATTAAGATGGCCCACAACTGTCATCCTACCAAGTGCACTCCATAACTAACATTTCATAAAGGTTTGGTACTGGGGAGCCTC